GATGACATAAGGGGGGATGACATACGGGATGACATAAGCATGAGCTTCGCTAAAAGTCGGGCTCTTGTGGTCCCCACAGGGGGGGCCCTCGGTTTTTTCCTCCCCCCCCCCTTCCTTGGTAATATCCTCATTGGGTTAGATTCCGAATCTAAAACCCCACAGGGCTCTAAGTTTTCCTTCCATCTGAGATCCAAGCTTGGGCCATATGAAAGTCTAGGCACCTAACGTACCATGAAATCTTTTCTTTAACTTAGTCATCATTACACATCTTTCAACTCCAAACTTCTTCTATCGATAACGAAATATGTAGGTATGAAATACTTCATCGGATGACCTGCTTTTCCATTTATAAGGTATAGTTGTATAACTCCGTGTATTGGTAGCAGTTGTTTTAAATATACTCCCTATATTATTCAATTGGCTTAATATTTTATCATTGATGAAATGGCAGGCATACGAAAACGCCTAACACAAGGACCTAGGTACTTAAATAGGTCAGGGGATTAATCAAACGACACAGTTCAAGCATGTAAAATACTACCGAGAACCCTGTTGGCCAAAGGAATGTACATAATATTTATAAAAATAATAATTAGTACTATGTGACTCGTGCGAAACTGGGTAGGTAATTAAGGTCCATGCTTTTGCAAGTTTGCTTAGGTAGCTTCAGGGGCTGTTGCTGAAGGTAGCATCTGGCAGTCCATCATCAATTTTGCTGTCTGTAACTAGAGGTACTCTGAAAACAAACTTGCGCACCGAGGAATACTTAAGCCAGTACTGCCATCTCATGTATTACACCCCTAATACGTAGCCCTCCGCCTGGCCGGTAGCCTGCCTAACCTCTTTACAAGCACCCTAAATTTTCCCTTTCCTCAAACTTCACCTTCTTTACGCCATTTTCTGCTTTCCAGGCTTAAAAACAACACAGAATTTCCAAACCAAGGTACCTCCCAGATAGAAGCAACATACAAGGCACCATGGACAACGAGAAGGTCTATTACAGTCCCTGCGACCCGCCTGCTCCGCCAGACTTCTGTTGCACTATAGATACTAGTTGTATCGTCCTTGCGGCCAATACAACAGTTCTATGCTGCCCAAAGGCAAGCAGTGGGAATTGTCAAGAAATCAATGTTATCGCTTGCAACTTGGATCAACAGGGCGCCTTTTCGAGTGTCCAGACCACAGTCAAAGAGGGAAAACTACCGACATGTGGCACAGGCTGCTGTCCTTGGGGTTATCATTGCGGACCCGATGACCTTTGTTACATGGACGAAGATCAGAGCAAGCCACCGCCAATCTTGCAAAGCACGACCAACTTGATAATTGATCATCCATCTACTGGCACTTCATCCTCATTGAAGCCCATTCCGACGACTTTCGATACGTCAGTCACTTCACAGAACCCTTCGTCATCTTCATCGCATGCCTCTCTAGTGACATTCGCGTCTTCTTCCGGGGACCCAAGCATCACCGTGAATGCCGATCCAGCTGATTCATCAAGCTCAACTCTGAGTACAGGCGAGATAGTAGGGATAAGCCTAGGGGCTTTCTTCAGCATCGTACTGGTAGCTCTAGTCGTATACTTCATGCATCGTACGCGAAAATCTACGGAGAATTCAAGCGACAATGAGCAAAGCCAGGATACAGTGACGCTAGATAGCAAAGATATGGCAAAGTTACATGATCCCCACCGAGAGCTTCACGGTACTCCAGTCTTCGAGCTATCTGGTTAGTTAAGGCACGGGTGACCATGATGATGATATAACTAGATGAATTTCCTAGTCGGACGACACAGAACTCTGATATTCAAGTAGGTGCTTAATATTCTGTTGTGATATTTATTATTATCAAAGCGTAACTGCGGGTTCTAATAGAATATAGGCACACAACCTACTATTGCATACACTAGGTGAAATTGGTTCGCGCTTGTGACGGGCTTGGTATCCATCCCAGCTCTTGAAAGATTCGCAGTACAGGTCTCATGAGAAAGAACCTCTGATGCCGTCTGCTAGGATACCAACCAGAACATACGGCAAGGGCAAACAGGATGAACCCCTGAAGCGCTATCAGTTAGATAGGGTAGCTAGCATAGTGATCATGCTGATTTTAAAGCTGTATGAGATCCAGTTTCGAACCCCAAGGTACCTACCTACTTGAGCTATAACATTATAGAATGTGGAAAATAATTTGTGACAATTGTCTGATATTCTATTCGTATTAGGCTAATAGCTACCAGGTAGTAACTCAATCAAATCCGATAAATTGGCCGACGGCCTCCACTCTAGTGTTCTATTGTCTGGTTTCTCAGTAAACTTAGTCTGATCGTATACTTGGCTATTTACCTCCGCCACGACCTATATAGCTCCTGCACTAGGTGAGCCAACCCTAATGAGAGCCCTTGATTTCATATTTTTTTCCAGTACGCTTTGTTCTTGATTGACCCCTATTGTGGAGTCCATGGTAACCTTTCTATAGAGGTGCCTGTATCATAAATTACAGCACATATTTATGAACTAAGTTACCTATATACCTGAGTGTACAACTATATGTTTGTTGGAGGGTAATAACAATAATATATCGTAATTTTAGAGAGAGATAGAATTTGAAGGCAAGTATTAGAAACGAGTATCTACCTCCTAACCTAGAGTCTTTTTAAAATCTTAACCTCGCGTTAAAAGTCAACTTTACCCAAGCTAAATTCCTAATTCCTAAGGATATAAGACCAATTTGGCTTAATGATTAGTACTATTTCCCTAGAAAGTCGAAAGCCCCTGAGTTCTTCGGATACCGAGGCGCTGAGCCAATCAGAATTCTTTCTCGGGTTCCTCGTGGCATTATGCGAGGTACCCGAGAATCCTTGCAGCTGTACAGCCTCAGAAACCCACAATGCCGGCCCTATCGAAGTCAAGTATGGTTCTCATATTGGTACTCAATATGTACGATATGTACGATATACCATGCTGAAAGCTCTGAAAAGACCCTGGATGGTACTTTACAAGGGCCCCTACCTCTTATGCCTTGAACCCGAGAGCTCATCGGGTTTCGTCATCCCAAGGCAAGACCTAGTGGGTACGCCGTTAGATTATATCTACCAGGTCTTTCTCTAGATTCCACGATCTATAAAACCCGCGAGCCTCCTGCAAAGGATTTTCTGTCAACCTATCCCTCCTCAGTGTACGGAAATCATGGCTTCCTACGTCTTGTTGTTGTCACTTCTTCACGTCGCCACCGCTTGTGACAAGGTTTACCATCTGTCTGCGCAGCAGTGGAATGGAAGTGTATCTTCAGAACTACAATCGGTTCAAGGTGGACTAGGCCCGTTCGACCACCAAAAGATTCTACCTTATCCGAATAGTACAAGTTTCGACTGGTGAGGATACTAAACGACAAAGCTTGCTGTAACATGTTATTTATTCATTTTAGGTGGTACTTTGATGCGGTATCGACTTCCTCGGACAACGAGTCTGTTGTTATTAATTTCCTGGAGGCTGGAGACTATGCCGTGACACCGCAAATAAGTGGTAGTCTGATCATCTCGATCGTAGGAACATTCAAAAATGGAACAAGCTACTCGTCTGGTGGACTCGCATCATATGGGGCGAACATCACTACGAATGATGAGAGTATTACGAGCCAATGGAAGGGACCTGGCATGAATATGGCTTTTGAGGGCTATCTAGACCCAAAGGATAACAAAGCATCTTACAATGTGACGCTTGATTACCCTGCTGCGGGCATTTCCGGCTCACTGTCGTTACGTGCCGTAAGCTCACTCCTCATTATTGCTGACCCCTGAATATTTCTCTGATCATATATCTTCTCAATAGAGAGCGCCCCCACGATACCCTTGCGATCCCAATATCCCCGTTGTAACGGAAGAGGTTTCCCCTGGCTTGGGTTGGGCCAATGCGGTTCCCGATGCCGATGCTACACTAGACCTGACTATAGGGGGAGAGCACGTACAGTTTACTGGAAATGGATACCATGACAAAAACTGGGCTGATCGCCCGTTTACGGAACTACTGGACTTCTGGTACTGGGGACGCGCTCGCGTAGGTCCTTATTCTCTGGTCTGGTTTGATCTGAAAACGCCAGATGGGGGACATCACCGGTCGGGATATATCTCCAAGGACGGTGAAGATATTTCCATCAGCTGCACAAATACTTCGGCAACAGTCATCCCATGGGGCACTAACAGCGAATACCCCCCAAAGCCAACTACCGGCCCACCAGAAGGTATTACCGTCTCATTCGATATGGGCGAGAAGGGTACTTTCGCTGCCAACATCACCACTCAGTTACTACTAGCAGATTTCCACACTTACCAAAGATATATAGGTCCAGCAATTGGTGGCTTTAATAATAGAGATATATTTACCGGGAAAGCTCTATATGAAGTAATGCATCTGGCCTAATCAGACGTTGGGTTGGTGTTGAATTATTCGTATTAGTCTAGTCAAAGTAACCCAAGAATGACAGTCCACCAACACCGTCCAAGACAACCCAAGTGCCCCCCCAAAGCCAATAGTAGTCAATGAATGAATTTATATAGATATAAATATAATTCAAAGAAGTTGCACCCGTTATTTCTCAGTCGTATCTAAATCTCTGGGTCTTTGCTTCATTCCGGCAAATTCCCCAGCTAGCAATTTCATTCCATTTCCTTTGGGTTCCTGTCCCCGAAGAAGAATACCAATCTCGCTAGGATGGTACCAATTCATCCAAATCATTGCTATTAGAATAAATGCGGCATCGAAGACATATAAATATACCTCCGATCTGGATAAACTTCCCGAGGTGCCTTGGAGGTACTCTATAACTCGAAACAGACTCCGCACCCAGATCATAATACCTGTCACGTATAGTGTAACTAGGCAATGCTTCCAGCGAACCTCAGGGGAACTTGCTTGAATGGTAGGTGCTTCACTCATTCGGCGATGGAAAAGGCCTGCAAGGACGACGAAGGCCCCAAAGAAACCAAGCTGCACAAATAAACCAATGATGATTAAATATTTGCCAATGTTGCTGATAGTACCGCCTATCACCATCAAACCGCCACCTATAATAATCTGGTTAACGAGTTATTTTTACCGAAAGATTGTGATGAAAGCCTCATACCAGATGATTGGAAGAATAGTGATATGACGTCTCCGCCGACGAAAACCTTGGTAAGCCACCGTCGTCGAATGGGGATGTATGACTCTCCATCCGTCAACTCAACGATACGGCCAAGAATCATATAGATCGATGCAGCCATGAGTGTCGGTCCAATAAGAATGAGGCAGCTTTGTATGATATAAGGACCGAGGCTCCAGCATCCGGGATCCTGTTGGGCGTTTATAATTCGGCTAATGTAACCAATGCATTCACCTGCGACTAGGAGGTTAACACGGAAATAGACTGGGGTAGGGTGATTGGAACTACATACATGTGCAGCCAATAACGAGTGCAAGAAGATACCAAGTTCTCGTTATGTATATTTGGGCGACGTGGGTGACAAGAGTGATGCCAAAGAGTACACTGAAAATAGCTGCCGCCGTTGCTGAAGGCTTATACCGATAAAACGCCCATTCCGCGTCCTGCCAATTAGGACTGCCGCAAGTAACCATCGAGGGCGATGTGACGTTTTGGTCAGAGATATTGATCCGAGTGTATAAGAATATTAGATAGCAGGAAGCTTAGTATAGAGCGGCGGAATACAATTAAAAGTGCAACAAACGATCGAAATTATTTCATAAGTGAAAGCTAGATTGAAGTTTATTGCTAGATATATGGAATGTGTATTTGCAAGAGTTTGTTTATATATTCCTTCCGTTGCACTATTCATACTCCTTTCGTATTATCTCGGATTTCTCTTCGTAGAAGTCTCGGTCAACTCAGCCCACTTAGAAGTTGGAGAGTGCACAAGTTTCTAGTTTCTAAAAAACAAAGTTAGTTAGATACCTGTCTACCTGTCATGCTAGGCTTCTAGACTTATCTGTTCTGGATCTTAAATATACACTTGTGAATTGGTTTAGGAGATTAGGAGATAGATCTGAATAGGGATCTGTGAGATGTACCTTAGTACATCTCAACACGTGACTGCTCGTCACGTGTCATTCAGACATTCGGATTCATCCTGAGTGTTTGTAAAAAAAAAAATAATAATGTTTCATATTATTAGTTTAGGTAGTTTAATACATCAAGTGTTTAACAGGATCTGCCTAATTGCGAGATGAGCTGGGGTACAGCTCGGACTCCTCGTATGCTATAAATACCTTATCCAATAAGAAGCGCTTTTCCGAGTCGCATTCGGCATAATTCGTATAATTCGTATTTCGATTAAAACGTACGAAGTACGACGAGTTACATTTTCTTATCATCTATTTTTCATTATCCTCGCCCGCGTAACTGCGCTAACTGTCGTACTCGGTACTCTATACTCTACTAATATGGCTACAAGACGAAGTCATCCGAAGTCTCGGACCGGTTGTATCATCTGCAAGCAAAGGAAAATCAAGGTAGTATATCCACCTAGCCACGTACGCGTAGTCCCCGGTCATATTAATATTCTCCCTAGTGCGACGAGTCGCGTCCAACCTGTGCTAATTGCCTACGATACGGCGCCAGCTGCAGCTTTACGCCTCCTAAAGCTGCTCCTCTTCCTGTGCTGACTTCTGCTCGCCTGCCCACCGGAGCCTTATCCTCTCAATCACTAGATGATACAGGCTCTCTAGGCACGGACTCGCAAACAACTTTTATTAATCTTGGCATCTTGGCCAACCCCAGCTCCATAATATCAACCCCGTCGGGACTGGACGAATGTCGAGAATTTGAACTATTGCACCACTATTGTACCTTTACAGCCGATTCATTATCTCAACGTCTAGATAAACGTCACATCTGGAAAGTCGTCCTGCCACAAGTCGGTTACGAACATGACTTTGTCAGGCATGGCGTTCTCGCCCTCTCAGCCATACATAAAGCGTATTTGAACCCGAGCCAACGCCAGGTCTATTTAGTTCTTGCAGCCCACTATCAATCCCAAGGCTTAAGTGGTTTCAGAGCCATATTGCCCCGCATTACATACAACAATTGGAGAGCTGTCTTCTGCTTTGCTACCATCGTGATAGTTTATGCTTACACACTGCCATTAAGGGCAGATGATCTGAGGCTTGAGAATCCTGTTCACAACTTATTGGAGCTGTTTACCGTTGTTCGGGGGCTGCGCGTTACTCTCGAACCCTTCACTCATCTGATAGCAAAAACCGAATTTGCACCAGTAGTTCATGGCATATGGATTCCTGAAGCAGAAGAGAAAAGGTACCTAACCTACACATTCGTTTCTTGGCCACCATAGCCTTGGTTAATCTTGCGATAGCGTCCCATCTCTTGAGCATACCCTGCTTCCTCCAGAGACATTTCTTGTCCTATCTTCTCTACGATCACTGCTTCAAGGGAAATTGCCTCTTTCCAAGACACAACACTATGACCGTGCTATCGATGGGCTGGAAACATGTACTAAAATTGTAGCATATGCCGGCTCGTATATTGAGCCTGGCATGGTAATATGGTGGTCATGCATACTCGACGAAACAATTATCAAAGACGTGGAATCATCTGCCCCGCACGCTTTAGTCCTCTTGGCACATTTCCTGGTGCTCATGAACGTCACAGAGCGGGTTAACTGGTCCGTGAAAGGATGGGCGAAACCGGTACTTGAAGATATTGAAAGACGTTTACATGACCGGCCCGGATTTATAGCTCGTCTTCATTGGCCAAAGGCTCATATAAATCCATAGCCCTTTGGATTTGGATGAGAGATTCAATAATACTTTCCGGTTGTATTGGTTGGATAGAAATCTAACTGTTTAGTCGCATCTATCAAAGCTGAGGATTACGATTCATACGAAGATGTTTTTTCTACAGCCCTTCATTAACGTTTCCGGGTTTATGACTCGGGTGCCTCGAGCTTACTTTTTAGAGCGTCCTGTTCAGCTTTAAACTTCCGCTCAATCTTGCGAAGTATTTTAGCAGGGTTCCCAGCCACGCAGTGATAAGCGGGAACGTCCTATATGCAGATAAGTATTCACGGTTAGACCGTCTGTAAGTTATGTATTAGTAGCGGCAGGCTTAAGCTTTGCTTACCTTGGTCACAACACTTCCCGCACCAATCGTACACCCATCACCAATCGTCACGCCGGGGAGTATTATCACATTCCCGGCTATCCAGCAGTCGTTACCGATGGTAATCGGCTTGCCGAGTTCTGGTCCGTTGGTGCCGTTGCGCAGGTCCGGATCCAGGGGGTGCGTCCCGCTAAAAAAGGATACATTCGGCCCAACAAGAGTTCGTGACCCAATCGACACCGTGCAGGTATCAATTATAGTACAGTTGACATTTATGAATACATTGCTTCCGACTTTAACGTTGGTACCATAGTCCATTCTAATCGGTCGTTCAATCCAGGGATATTCGTGAAGGATCGCATCCTCTTCTTCGTCTGTTGCTGCGGGAGGAGGAAGAGGGCGATCATCCTTGGTTATTCTGCCCGAAAGGTCAGCGTGTTTTACTGTAACAGGTACATATTAAATGAGGGCTTCGAAACCCGCTTACTCTTTCCAGTATCCCGCGATCTCGCGGCGGCTCAACTCTCCAGCGCTGTTGAGTCGGCTAAGGATACGTGTGCATCGTTGTCGCTCGGCTATCAGTTGCGGAGTGAAGGCATAGTAAAGCTCCCCGCGTTCCATGCGAGCGAGGTTCTCGCCTTCGTCGACCTTTGGCACCATAGTAGAGAAAATCTAGAAGTTGTTGAGCGAAAGAATGGGAGGAAGTAGTAAACGAAGGGTGATATCAGATTTAAACTATCTACGTACACGAAAACGGGTTGTGAAATGTATCAAAGCTCTCTTGTGTATTGGTTTGGGTTTGAATACGGGCCGCTATATGAGTGGCTACATACTCTATGTGGTATATATGGATAAATACCTACCTATGTAATGCATATTTACATAATGTACCAAGGCCATTGATAATACGGCTAGTCTACCGCGCCAAATCAACTTCCAAAACTATTTAGAGGTAGCTAAGAATTCGGATTCACGTTTTGAACTTGTTACTATTTGGATTTGAACATTGCGAAATCAACTTATTTTGAGTTCAGCCTGATAAGTTTTTAATATTTAAGTGTAGTATAGTAGCTGCTAAGAGCTTAGTGAAAGAAGAACAAAAGCAACATTATAGTCTTGCTGGTGATTATATACTAGGTGTAAAATATATCAACTCATTGACTAGAAGTTGGGATTACTATAAGGGTTTCATTGATGTACCTTATGTTCGTGGTTGGCATATATTGAATATATTTGTATAACGTAATTCTATCCTTATTTATAAGTCACTCAACCTCCCCTAATCACTTTATATAGTCTATCTACCTCTCTCTGGACTGTCTGAACTATGTTATCCGTAAGCGTCCCATAGTTATGACGAGAAGTGTGTAGTGTTTGAACAAGTACACTTTATAGAAAGTCTATGACTAACGCCTTTTTTCTAAATAGTAATATTACAGACCTCATGGTAACTATTCAATATATAAGCAGCCCTTGTATTTTCTCATTCATACACGTAATCGACTATGGGAACCCAGACTCAGGTATTCGATAGGCATTTTATACACTAAGATGGTTGCTTTAAGATGTTATGCTGTATTTATGAGTATATAAGAATCCAACATAAATTTCAATACCAAGCCTCTTAAGATCAAATAATTGATCTGGACGGCGCCGCATATTCTTTTGCTTTATATACGACTTCATTTATAAATCGAAAATGGCATATTTAGAACTTTACGTTGCCATCTGCAAAGTCCGTTGTGCGGGTGATGCTCGACATTGGCTTCTGATAGTAGCATACCCAGGGGAAGAACACGGTACCTGGTACCATGTAACGGGTGGGCCAACACACGATAAAGATTATAAGCTTGAGATCCAGACCAAGCGGGTCGATAATCATAAAATCGAGTCATACTATAAAGTTGGCAACCTCCAAGAGGTAGACGTTAAGAAACTCAAAGCATCAGCTCAGAGCATAACACCAAAGTTCTGTCAAAGGTGGATAGTTGACGTTCTTAAGGACCTCGAAAGAAAATCTCTTGTGTCGAGTGGCACGAGTGATGCGTGGTATCAGAAAATGGAAGTTGACCCTTATTCACATGATGGTGCTTCCTCTTAAGTTACCTCTGGAATCTCATCCCGAATACATTCTTAATACCCCAGTCATCCTACGTGAGAATTTCGCAGACTTGGTCTAGGATGTCACCTTGCATATATTTTATTAATATTCGTACGCGGCCTAATTATTCATTTTGATATGCATGTATACTCTAGGAACGGGAATATCGACATGTACCGTTGCTTGACATCATTAGGTTTAGTAGCGGTTAGGACTGGCTATTACTACCTAACCTAAGAGGTACTTGAAGTAGTCGATTTAAGTATGTCATGTACTATTCTAGGTACGACTAGTTAATTCTAGGTGCTAAAGATCTAGGTATATTGATCCAGGTTGTAAATTCGAGCTGCGGTATACTGGAGAATGCCTTATATAGACGTTCAGCTGACTAAGTAATACAAATACCAAGGGCTAGATCTATGATAAGGTGATTATTAATAGATGATGAAATTAGAGTTCGGCTATTGAAAAAAAAGGAAATTAACAAAACTAAGGCGGAAGCAGTATTTCAGTTTAGCAATTACAGCTGGAAACTTAACGCACCTTGCCACCTTCCAGCTACCTCGTCACAACTCTAGTACGAACAAACTAGGTAACTAACCTAATTTGTGGTAATCAGATGGGGTATACCTTAGGTAGGTATTCAATACATTGGAAACACAAACAATTTCTTTCACACGTGGAAACTCTTTATAGCCGTGTCTCACAATCAGTCGATTTTTAGAAATCCTAACGTAAAACAATAGATCAAGATTTAGTTTTACTATCAGTTTATTATAAATACAAAGGCATAAAACCTTTAAGGCCCACGCTTCGGCATACACCAATTGGCATACACTAGCCTGATATTTATAAGGAGATAAATACATGCCGACTCGAAAGTCGAGAGACCATGAGTTCAGAAACTACACCTGGTACTGACCGTTCGGCACCTTTTATTGTCGAGCCTACGTCAAACCATACCCACAGCTTCATCCTTCTCCATGGACTTGGGTCAAATGGACGTAAATTTGGGGAAGAACTACTTGAGACTGGCGTCACCTCTGGTGGCAAAAAGCTGACAGAAGTATTCCCTGGTGCACGGTTTATATTTCCTACAGCTAAGCGCCGTAGATCAAGCATGATAAGGAACGCAAAGTTGACACAATGGTTCGACATCGCTTCTCTGGATGACCTCTTCTTCCGACCGAATACCCAAACCAAGGGGCTTGTGGAGTCCCATGGTGAAATATCTCATCTGGTCAAAGACGAATGTCAAAAGGTTCCCCACCAAAACGTCATCTTGGGTGGTCTCAGTCATGGCTGTGCAATGGCACTATTCTGCCTTTTTACATCTTGGTTTCCTCTCGGGGGGTTCGTGGGGATGAGCGGATGGTTACCATTTCAACCCGACATCGATAGCCTCATAGGAAGCGAAGGCGACACATTCGTGTTTGACAACGACGCTGACCCTATCGATGAAGATCCATTTTCCTCGGACGAGGTGTATACCCAAGCAGAAGAGAATCCAATTGTCCCAGTGATCGAGTTTTACGATGATGTACTGGATTCCAGTGGCATTCCCGATATTAACAGCAGAGGGACGTCACTTTCTACGCCAGTATTTCTCGGACATGGTGCGGAAGATGAAAAGATCAAGTTGTCTAATGGGGAGGCGGCCCAAAGAATCCTCAAATCGGTAGGCTTTGACGTTTCATGGAAAGTTTACCAGGGGCAAGGGCATTGGTATAAAATTCCAGATGAGATAGATGACATAGTCAATTTTCTCCAGGGAAAATGCGGCATGTGACTCCGCTCTATTAGATGCAAAATTACACAGGTAATCAGGTAGTTCCATCTAACGCAATCACGAGACCCTGCGTTTGCTAAGCATACAATCAATTACGAGACTCCGCGCCTGACGGAGGACCTGAGGTGAGTGCTAAAAGCTGAATGAGACTGGTGGTGAAATTATTGCAGGGTCGCTATCCATGCTAAAGTAAAGAGAATCGTGGTAAAGGCCTAAAATTCAAAGTAGAAAAGTGTGTTAATTAGCGTAGAGGGCGATGGGTTATGAGTACGAGCAAATCGTTATTATAAGGTAAAATATCTCAAAGAATAGACTAACTCTTATGTGACAAGGACAATATCATTTCCTAATATGTATCTAAGTGACATATATATTTTTGGGCTTGGATAAAGTACTCTTTCTTCTAGCTACTACTGATTAGCGTAAGACATAAGACAAATAACAAGTAAGGGATACGTATATTATCCCACAAGCGCCTACTCTCCATCCGCTCCTAGTTTGGCAATGTGTCTTTCAGACCGAAAATTTACCTATTTAGAAGGACTCTACTTGCTTGTTGTAAGCCATAGATTTTGCTTTGCTATTATACTGTGGCAAACTCGATGGCTATATCCTCAGATTCAGAGCCCGTATATGGGCTAAGGCTAATGCCTCTGCTTCTGGATGAGCTAGCAAGAACTCAACCTAATAGGGTGTATGCTGCTATTCCTAAGTCGTCGGACGTGACGCAAGGGTTCCGCGATGTTACTATTGCGGATATTGCACGATGTGTCAATTATACGGCCCGGTGGATTGAAACGCAGCTAGGAAAGAGCATAAGTTTCGAAACTATCAGTTATATTGGTATATCGGACGTACGGGGTCCCATCGTCTTTCTGGCAGCAGTGAAATGCGGATACAAAGTTCAGTTCTCCCTAAAGACTAAACGCGCTTACGCTAATATCTTTCACATATTCTACTTCTCTCGCCTCGTAACCCGCCGTCTACCAACGTGTTCCCGATAGACCAGACAGAGAGCGTTAAACTGTTATACCCAGTTGAAACCGCCCCTCTTATCAAATCAGTCCGTGGTTTACGTCCGGACATACGTGCTGAAGCGATGCCCTCGTTTGACGAAATGATCAACAGTGTCCCGGAACATTACCCATATGAAAAGTTATTCATTGAAGCCATGAATGAACCAGTAGCTGTGCTTCATTCATCAGGATCGGTACCACTTCTACATAAACTGAAGTATATAAGAATTGATATTGGGCTGCCGCGTTTTGGTCTTGAACATCATACGAAGAAATCGCCAACGAGGTCGACACTATTATATACAACGCATGGGGGCTTGATTTCGGCCTCTCAATTCGCTCGTATCATCCGTTCTTAAGGGCTACTGTAAGTACAATTGAGCTTGCGGCCGTTAGCAAGCGCAATATCCGCATCGTATTCGTCAGTTCTGTTTCCTCAGTCAGTAGAATGGCCACGACTACCACGGCACCTGAAGCTCCTATTTCAGATCCCTTGGCTTCCTTGGACATGGGCTATGGACAGTCCAAACATGCAGCTGAGCGCCTACTCACAGCCGCAATTAAAGTGTCCGGCATTCCGGTATCCATCATACGGGTCTGCCAGCTTGGTGGACCTTCTCCTGGGAAGCCTGGTAAGTGGACTGACCAAGCTTGGCTCTCTGCTCTGATACGCACGGTGAGGACTACGAAATGCATTCCCGAGAACGTCACAGCAATTAACTGGGTTCCTGTCGACGTTGCTGCTGAGATGATACGGGACCTCATTACCCGCCCAGTTCAACAGGAGGCGCAATTTTACCATATCTGTCATCCTAGACCACAACGCTGGGAGCTACTCGTCGACATCCTACGTGAGTTTCTCGGCGTCGCGGATACAGTGCCCCTAAAGGAATGGACTAAGAAGCTTAGGGACATTGAGGACCCAAGCGTCGAAGATATTGCTAGAGTGCCTGCGCTGACTATGCTAGACTTTCTCGAGGAACTGGGTGATGGGACAGAATCTGCAACATATGCAACAGACCAGGCTATAAGGTACTCGAAAACTAGCATACCCGCCCTGAACGGGGAAATGCTACGAAACTGGGTTAGTAGTTGGAACCTATGAGAAGTTTCCATTGTGTAGCTAGGCGCAATAGCTACAAGGTCTTTAGGGGGGAAGTTAGAACTGACCATTAACATCGGAAAATCCAAGAGTCAAAAAATGAGCAGTTCGACATTTCTTTTTTAACTGGTCATTTAATATTGTCAAAAGGCGGTGGCTTAACGAGCAATTACTCGCTGCTTGCATCCGATAAAGCTGCATTAACAACCGCCCCTTTTTGCGAATCTCTTCCATTGTATCTATTTCAAACGTAGGAATAAGACTGGGAAAAAAAAGGTACTAGTTATAAACATTCTGCTACGAGAAGTTCGGCGGATGTAAAAGTCTTATACCTGAATTTTCGAGTATGAAACGAGGCGCACTTAAATATTGTGATTACTACCTACATAGGAGGTCCATAAGATCCTCAAGAATAAGTATTCCAATTATTTTCGTCCAACAACAACAAGAGTGGCGGTACAAAAGGAAATTAATTATAATCATCTTGGGAAGGTTATCAGCATTAGTGAATCGATAGAGCCTCAGCTCGCCGCCCAGCGCCAATGGAGCAAAAATGACAAACGTCACTACACATAAGCAAGAAACCAGTAATATTAAAGTCAGGACGGGGTACATTTGCTGACGGCATATATCGCTATGAGATCTGCGACCGGTCCTCTTCCGAAAGCGAGCCGGTGGGCGATCTCAAGTCGTTATGTTGAAGCCTGGTAGGATTCGCGATCTTCCGCATCTTGTGGCGTTACACATCGTAGCCAATGGCTTCAATATAGTGGTAACACATGGCGGTGGCGGAGCCCTTCCTATGGTATAAGTTCTATTAAGTATTATAAAGAAAATGAGGACCTTCCCAGAACTTGATTATGTTGGAAATTGAATGTTCGTTTTTTTTCCTGCCTCTGTACATACCTGAAAGTTATTGAAACCCGATTACTTTAATTACATGCCTCTTATTTAAATCCAAATTGTCCTGGATTGAGGCCGCTAATATGTCGTCTGGTGTATCATTAGATGACATCTCCTTTTATCCCTACGACCCATCGGAGGCCGTGGCTGGAGTATGCCTCGCCCTATTCGGGATAACTCTTGTTTGGTCTTCTGTTTTGACTATTCGAAAAAGAGCTTGGGCGTGGACAGTACAGCTGCTAGCGATACTCAGTAAGCTCTTTGGTGGCCTTTGATATAGCGCCGTAAATATTCTAATGCGTCAACAATAGTGGAAGTAGTTGGATATGCAGTTCGAATTGCGTCTGCTGGCAATCCTACTAACCTGAACTTATACGCGATACAATTCTGCGTAATCATTCTCGCCCCTGTTCTCATGGCCGGAGTCATATATGTCGTCTTTGGCCGTATCGTTTTTCATGTTGTCCCCGCCCAAGAAAGGACGACAAGACTCTTCTGGATTCCGCGTATGTACTTATTCAAACTCCCATCCGACCCTCCATACTAACTATTGTAGCTCGGTGGATCACGCCCATTTTCGTCACCTTCGACGTGATCTCTCTCCTTGTTCAGCTCGTTGGCGCCGTTTCCGTCTCGAGTACTGAAGTGACAGACGAGGACGCCGAGGACAAAATAAATATGGGAAAGAATGTCGCACTTATAGGCCTCGCTATACAAATCGCAGCGTTTGGGCTTTTCACAGTAATTGCCGCTCGCTTTCATTTTACTTCGCAACGATTCGAGGCGAGTCTTTTGTCGAAGCTTGAGACAACTGACGGAGGAAAGTCGGTCTTGGTCAAAGGGTTGTCACGAAAGATAAACCGAAACTGGAGACACCTCCTATATGCAGTCAACGCATCTTGTATTTTGATTCTAGTAAGACCCTAAGAAATACTTGTTAATGTAAGCCTTCTGACATTGCTTCCCAGATCCGGTCTGTATTCCGTGTAGTCGAATTCGCCGAAGGCTCAAACAGCTCCATATCGCAGCATGAGTATTTGTGAGTGACCGAAGCCTACGTATGATATCTCCTTGTAGGCTAACACCGTGTAGCATGTACGTCTTGGACACATTGCCCGTGTTCCTAGTTGTATGTAGCTTCTGCTTCCTCTTCCCTGGGTCATATCTCCCGTTCATGGGCTTTAGAATCCCTAAACAACCAGTCGACATTGGGGAAGCGTCGAGCGATGAGGGCTCGGCTATCGAGTTACAAGGAACATAGACATAATAGACGGGTTATGGTAGCTTGTCTTCCAGTTAACTTATCTTTTCTTTTGCTTCTTCTATATCCAACCCTGCTAGGGTCAAGTCATGCAATATTGCCAAGGCATATGATTGCAATTCAATACAAAACCCAGTTATTGGTTAAATAAAAGGGTTACTGTCCAGGCGCTCATCATAGAAAGGAGGTGCACATATTCACCAAACTAGGTAGCTGAATATGTGGATATTTCTGATACGGATTTGATGGCAGCTAGCCATTAAACTGTCGTCATCAACACGAGCACCTAGAATACAAGAAACAAGGGCAGTATCATGCCTGTCATATTTGCCCATACCAACACTACTGTAGTCTGAGGCACAGTCAGCCAATGATCAATTGAAGTTTTTTGGGGACATCTTATTCGTTACGTGTGTGACAAAGATACAATGTGCCTTTGTTTGAAACCAGACGAGACGCTGTCACCCGCGTTTATTTTCCGAAGTACGACATGTACGACACAGACAAGCAAGGAGAAATTGTGATCACAGACCACTCGATCTCCCGAAACTAGCCTGTTCGCCTTATCTTGACACCGGACGATTGGATGATATTCATCAAGCTGGGCCTAATGGTAATGTGACTGATGAGTGCGTACTGGGCCGTGAGAGTTTGACAGGTGCAGAAGTGTTACCTGCACTGTAACGGAAAAGCGATGCATACCTACATGTACACAAGTCAGGCAGGCAGCCATTATGTACCATAGTAGGTAATAAAAGTGATAGCAATGCCATATTTTGTCAGGGATGAGCTGTCAATAGGAAGATCCCGGGTTCGGAGTTTTTTGGTTTGAAAAAATCCCCTTCTTACCCTGGGGCCTGGGCTGGACCTAGGGTGTGACAAACTTGAGTCTTCAAGACCCCTCTCGGCGCCGTGCTAACATCCTAGACGATACGGGGACCAATTAAAAGCTCGGGTACCTTCACTCTTCGCACTTAAGGATTGGACTTAAGGATTGGTATTTATTTTTCTTCGCCGATCTAGAAGCGGTGAATTCTAGAGCTTTGGAGGAAGCTTTATGAGAAAGCTAGGTAGGTTAAGCATTTGAGAGTTTCTGTGGGACGATGAATTGGTAGCAATGCGAGAAAAGCCCGAAGAGACTTAACAACCTGGCCAGGTATCTACTTCACTCGCTCGACTTTCTAATACCTTACAATGAAGTCCCTCGACCCCTCGGGGTTACGTCACGTCGGAAAATGGCACCCGGATTCTCGCAACGTAGCACCCGGTTACAAGCCCTAGACGATGCCCTCAGCCCTGGGCGAAAGTGTGCTGCGCTCTGAGTAATAGTGTTGATATGTAAGAGGAAGGATGTTGAGATAGTAGCCTTAATAAAAGCCCAGTTGGGGTAATTTATGTAAGGAGGAAAAAAAGAAGCTTTTAATACTCGAAGCTGCACAGGAGACTTATACATGTATGAATTAATCAAAAGTATGCACGTAGCATGTACCCAAGTACCTATGTAAATGCTATTAAGGTTCCTATATTAATGAGGTTTATGAATTAGCGCGGGTAAACATTTGATACATCTCGATGCTCGATGTATGGATGTACCTACCTATTTAAGTTGATTATCCGTTGCGACTTTGCCCAGCAATACCAGCGGATCCCGCCTACCAAATGTATGCGTACATAGTGTGGAATATACATAGAACCCGAGAAGCTTTAACCCTGGCTTTGCCTACATAGGCTGCTAGGGTAGTCTTGTTTGTTCTTGCCTGGCAGCCTGGTAATTCCGTTCAGGGCTGTCTGACTTGCTAGGATGTTTAACCTCTGATCCACGGCCGATCCAAAACATGTATCGCATTCGCTTATGTAAAAACCTATGTAATCCGTAAACTACATGCATGTTAACCCATGTTAAAACCCATGTCAATCTACGTACCTTTCACCCCCACACCAAACTGACGATTGGGTCTAAAGGAAAGCGGGGAAGTTCCTATTCGGTAGCATTCTTTTTTTTTTTTTCATGTCTCTTTCGACATTGGACGAGTTTCAAACAACCCCCAAGTCTCCGTAGGTGAAATACCTACGTACCCGTACCTAACATACCTCCCTATTATGTAGGTCTAGGTATGTATTCTAATAAGAAAGCAGAAGCGTGAAGAAGGAAATAAAAAATAAAAAAGGGAAAGCCCCCATGCAGGCATGTATTACTAATAGATACATGAGATATTCGGTATTAGACTGGCAGACTGGTCACTTACTGGTCACTTTGAAGGATTTTGATTAACCAACGCTTCTCACATCTCAGCCTCTCTCAGACGATACAAGGTCGGATATACCGTATAACTATTGCCGAATACCGTGAGACCCCATCACGGCTACCTACCCAGCTCTTGGTTCCCCCTTCTGAGCTTCAGCACTCTCTGCTTCTTATCGAGTATTCTCTTTGCATAGTACCGAGTAACTTAACTTATATAAGATAAAATCGCGACTCAGCTAGACTATATTATTCAAATCTTGTTATTGGTGGTTGGTTTTCAAGTTATATTAAACGTTGTTACAAAAACGCCGTGCGCTCGCCGCCGATTTTCGATCTCGAAGGCACGTGAAGCGTCTCCGTCCGGACTCGGTGAAAATCCGCCTCGGGGGCTTCAGGAACGAAGTTAGCAAGATCCGGAGTGGCATCGAGCGATCCTTTTATACAAGTGGCGGACGGGATAGAAGGGAGAAAAAGCAAAATTAATGCCGCTAGTCCTAGCATGATCATGATCCTTCTTGTTCCCCACGACTTTGACGAATTGCTTTCCCTTTTCGATACCTGCCAGCCGCAATATTGACCAACGGCGGCTGCCAACTTACGGAGGCAAACGACTCGGCACGCGCAACTAAGACAATACACCACTCTGATTTGTTCGTTCAGCTTGCCTATCCTGGAGTTTTCGCACAATGGTTTATTGTGGAAAGGCTTCTCAGGGGTGTCAAAACTGTCGAACCCGACGTATAAAGGTGCGTATGCGCTCACAACCTCACCAAACACAAACACATTAAACACATGCATCCGCCTTCCCTGTCCTGTCCTGCCTTGCCCTGCCTTGCCCTGCAGCTGAGGCAAGATGTACTAGGCGGCATCATATCCGAGATGCCGCAAGGTTCAGCTGTGTCGTCTGCATCCACCTCAATCGATCCAATCGGTCGGGACCGTAATAGATGAACTGGCCCATAATTAACTAAGAGATCGTAGTGCGATAAGAAACGCCCAGAATGCTCACAATGCATTCGCGTGGGCAAGAAATGCCCGGGTTATCGAGACCAGTTATCTCTTATGTTTCGAGATGAGAGTAGCAAGGTTATACAAAAAGCACATGCCCAATGGGGCTCTTCGGGGTCTCCTGCTGAGCAAAGCGGAAGTTTCGTTTCGACTTCAGCCTCGGCCTCAGCGTGGACAGACGAGTCGTCGAGTAGTGCTTCAGATAGTCCGCCGGAGAGTAGTTCGTTGCCGCCACCTGAGCTTGTTCCCGCAAAGATACCTAAGAAGGTAGATTTAAATATGGAACAGCAGGGCCTGCAGTTTTACATCAATCGCTATCTTATGCACCATCCCGACTCCCCAAGAACAAGCGAGCAGGTAGCGACGTATTTTTCGAGGGCAGATGCCGCCCAGAACGTTATGATAGCCGTAGGTCTCGCAGGACTGTCTAACCTGCTAGGGAACAAGAATATGAACCTAGTTGCGCGTTCTAAATACGTCGCATCTCTGAAGCAAACCGGACAGCTAATTGCTAGTAATGATCCTGCAGGCCTTGTAGCTCGCCTTCGGAGCGTCGTAACGCTCGCTTTATTTGAGGTAAATTGATACCTGGAAATAATTATATTCGAGTACGTAACACTTACTATATATAGGTCGTCCAAGGTAAAGGATCTAGAGTGGCAGTGGGTTTAGCTAGCACACACGTTAATGGGGCAGTGGCTGTATTGCGATCTGTACTACCTCTTCCGCAGGCCCCTAATGGAGGTGTGCATGGTATATTACAATTATTATTTTCAATGGTATTGTATTTGCCATATCTTATCTCATCTACCTACTAACTATCCTAGTTCATTCCCTATCAAGCGACAAGCACGCCTCTTCCACCTGGTTTCTTCGAGACTCTAAAATTCTGTAAGCAGATGATGCAAGGAGTCCCAGAAAGTTGTTCTGTCGATTTGGCTCTCGCTATGGTTCGACTTCTCCAACTGTCAGCGACATTCGAGCACACAGTATACACCGACGGGCGTCCGGCCGTAGATGATATTATACGACAATTTATTCAATTGGATAATACGTTTGATGGCTTGGAAAGGCGGCTCCTAGAAGTTTTTTCCTTTACGGAAAATAGGGGAGAGTATCCGCCAGAAGCGGTCTTTCGCGGAAAGTGGCACAAGTATAATGTGATATGGGCTGCCAGGATATGGAATCATTACCGTTGGGCTCATGTTCTCACTAACCAAAAGCTTGTCAAATTTATGAGCACCTATCCTATTTCGAGCAGTCGAACCCTACCAGCTCCTCGGAGAGTAAAATGTTACGCCACTATTGAACGACTAGCCGAGGATATTCTTATAAGTGTACCTTCACATTGGCACCATCCAACGCTTGACCCCGAAGTGACTCGAGAGTTTGAGGCGGATGGATATGGCAATTCTGGAGCGGTAGGAGTACCCAGCCTTCTCTGGCACTTAAAAGTCGCTGGTTGCGCTCCGAACGTCCCGCCGGAGTTTTGGGACTGGGCTTATAACGTGATGCAAGTGGTTTGGAGGCAGATGGGAATGTTACACGCAAAGGCCTTGTCAGAAATCATGGAACAGCACCGATCCAAATTAGATAAAGAGGTGGTCGGGCATAAAGTAAAGTTAGAAGAGGAGGACGGCCAAAGGCGGATATAATGAATGACTTGGATGTTGATTATATATAAGCGCTATATCTGGAAAGGCATCTATGGGCGTGGCTAAGCTATGGGGAAGTACTTTGACTTGGTGATTTAGTTATTGGGTATATTTAGGGAGGGCATATAGGCGAATGGCATTATACAGGTCGGTAAGACTAGGTTTTCAAAAATACCCTCAAAGTTATATTCGTCTGCAAATAACAGTTCACTTGAATTATTTTCAGCCTTTTGATGAAAATAAGTATCTGAACTACATCCTAATGTAACTACAAGTACCTTATGTACCTACCATTAGGTAACTTGTGGGTCCGTGCACAAGAGACACTCTCTGCGGTAATTCTACGGGTAAGCTAACGAAGCGATAAGATCTTATCGGGGCGTCTTCAAGTGGTCCGAGAGCCTTAGCTTTAACGCCTCTTCAATCATACATACAACAACTGCTATCTATCTTCAAACTACCTATCCATAAGTCGTTACCTACGACGTTTCCATCACCTCTTATTTAATCTGTGCTAATAGCACCATCCTATAACCCATACAAAAATAAATGTAACCGAAAAAAATTCAAATACCTATCAAAATGGTGAGCGGCGGAGAGGGGCGCAAAGGTATGTAGTAATTCGCAGACTTGACTGCGCAGCGCGCCGTGTTGACACGAATGCTCGCCCCACGTTCTAGGTCCCGATGACGAAGGTACAATTAACGTCGCCTCAAAGAAAGTCATACGAGATAGGCCAAACGGTATAATCAAACTTAAGAAGCCTGTACCGAAGCAATTAAAACCCGGCAATTGGAGAGATGGTAGCGTTGCCGATGGTACGTTGCGCCTAAACCCTATACTCTCTTTGGAGCGCCAACAGCTTCTAAGTATTATTCTATTATGTAGATGATAAGAAATCTAAACCCTCCGAGAACCCTTCCGTCATCGTTGGCGTCCCGTCTCCCGGACCCGTGGTCAACCAGTTAGACGAAACCTCCCGCGAGACCTTTGCGACCGGACGGCCTCTCGAAGATAATCTTAATCTCCAACAATGTAAACACTGCAAAAAGGGCATTATCAAAACTGCAGCGAAGGAACATATTGCGCAATGCCTACGAATCAAGAAAGAGAAAGCCCAGCGCAAAAAAGAGGCTAGGGAGGCGAGAGAACGAGCAAAGGAACAAGCGCGGGAAGAGGAAGCTCGCAAAGCCGACGAGGATGGAGATGCTAAGATGAATGATGACAGCGATGATGATGATGACGGTTCGCCCGAGAAAAAGGGAACTAGTGGGAAAGCAACTAAGAAGGTAGGTGGTAAGAAGCCGGACGGTGAGCCAAAGGGCAAGAAACGAAAGGCCGACGGTGATGCCGAGAAGGGACCAAAGAATAAGAAAAAGAAAGAGGAGCCGAAGCCAAAGGTTCCCAAGCCTAAAGGTACCTATCTAACCACTACGCATCCTTACCGTCGAACCATATCAGTCGTGTCTAACTGATCTAGGCCCCGTTGATGTTGAGAAGCAATGTGGTGTTATATTGCCCAACGGGCAACCATGTGCGCGATCTTTAACATGCAAAAGCCATAGCATGGGAGCCAAGCGTGCCGTCGCCGGTCGATCACTTCCTTACGATATGCTACTTGCTGCGTATCAAAAGAAGAACCAGGCGAAACAACAAAGTAAGACATAGAACACTGGTTAGGCATTTAACCATGACGACTAATAGGCAACAGAGGCCGCATTGGATGCAAACGCTCCATTAGAGGACGACGACGACGCTAATGCCGGACCAGTCGACTCTGATGAGGAGACTGCTGCTGTCATGAGCGCACTAGCACGATGGAATCCACAGCCCGTCTTGCCGCCGCCCGTTTTTGAGCCTATCAGGAGAACTTATCAACTAGCGCGTCTTCGTGAACAGCTCCACACGGCAACCAATGGCGGGCGTACCAACATATTCAAGGTGGTTGGATTTGGTGCTCAGAAGCTCCCCGAAAACCATACCGATACGAATATGGACCTAGACGACGCGCCAGGGGAGCCAGACCTAGGAATGATGGGCGCGATGGGCGTTCGACGGTCCTCAAGTTTTGGCATGCAAGCCAATTCACGACGACCGTCCGTAGCAAGCCGAGCTTAGGACCGGCTGCTCTCATGCGGCATATCGTATGAGGAAATCAAACAAGGATATCAAACGAGGGTCTAAACGAGGGTTCAGCTAAAAAGAAGGTCGTTTGAGCTTGCATTCCCTTCTTCTGGCAACAATATCTTGGTTGGAATCAGCCAGCGTCATCCCCGTTATAACTGCATGTACCTCCTATAGGCTTGTGCCCCCCCAATAACGGCATGTAAACGAGGTTGGGTAAGTACCCGGGCAGTTAGGTAAATGCATTTGGGTGGGCTAGTCATTATCATCATTATCATCATCATCACGATTAGGCGTTTATTGGGGGATACCAGAGCAAAGCAGGTGGTTTTAGGGTTTGAATTTGTTTAGCAGGAAAGCGACTTGGGGGCGTTAGGTGAAGGTGGCAAGGTCAGCAGGTATACCATGATTTGCTACCTCCTTGGTCCGGCGTTGAATTGTTTTTGGTGCGATAGGCCGTATTTAGAATTCATATGATACCACTCAGCAAATTCCAATAAAGAACATAACTGGGAATAGAAGCTGTTTAGGTTGAGAGTTGTGACGGCACACGTGTCGGTGCCCGAAGTGGCGGTAGGCCTAACCTAAGGGCTGCACAGCGGGATGGAGCATGAGGACCCTGTACACGTGTAAGCTTGCCAATCTCTCGGGTGCCTTTTCCTGGCATCCTATAGGACATTGTAGACTCAGGGAAGCCCCTCGTGCAAAATGTGTGCGGTAGACATCCACAAGCAAAAGGATTGGAGACGAGTCGTCTATGGATAGCTAGCCTCGAAGTTTGGATATACAATTAGGAAGAAGAGGTAAGGATGGTAAGGATGCAGGGCAGGGAATGTCCATGTATGTAAGCATAAAGGGGGGTGGAGTTGGAGTACTATACTATTTACTCGATATCTTTTACGTACTATGCGGAACACAACATATATTAGATGTCTTACATGAGGTATGGTATATATATAAACTGGCTATGAACTGGTCATGACGTCGTCGTTCAAGTTGCCCCCTCTTCGCTCGAGCCAGCTCGCGGCTCGGTCACATCGCGAAGTCTTCTCTCTCATACGCATCCCATACCCACGTCTAACACATACCGACACATACTAACACACAAACAATATGCCGTCGGCCTTGTGCGACATCGTCGACCCAATGGCGAATAAACAAATAATTGCACGGTAGACGACATGGTTGACTACATAATCTATATACAACCTAGTGGGTTTTTGTCTCCTTCTAGACACACGATCAGCTACCGACCAAACTTCTTGGCACCATAGACATTGTAGGGTTACAAGGCAACGTACATACACGGCCACAAGGTCTCATCCGAGATTCGGTTGGTGTGGTAGCTGCTGACGATATTTTTTTTTGTGTCCTGTTTGTCCTCGTACTGTGTTCTAGATCTTCCCGGAACCCAGATCGGAAGGCTTGTTCTTCGATATAAACCATACGGTTCCTTTTCACCTGTCCCCCTTCTACCACTTACAGCGCTGGGAAGGAAACCAACCAACCATGCCATCGCCAAGCTTCGCCAATTACACAGGCACACCAGCAGTAGCAACAGAAGCAGCAGCAGCAGCAGCAGACAAGTTCCTCCCGGCCCTACACCACGCCGTCTCGGGCTCCGCCGGCACGCTCATCTCGACATGCACTCTCTACCCTCTCTCTCTAGCGATTACCCGCCTCCAAGCTCAACGACAATTTCGTCGGGAGGAAAGACTCAACAGCAGCAGCAGCAGCAGCGCCAGCAGCGCCGGCGACACCACTCCCACAGGTCCGATCGGGACCGGGACCGGGCCCGGGGCACCTCCGGGTCCGGCGCGGGAGTCTACGCACGCCGGAATCACCGAGGCCTTTTCGCGGATCTGGAGGTCCGGTGGCGGGCCGAGAGCGCTCTATACTGGCCTAGCTCAAGACGCAGCCAAATCTGTCTTGGACTCTTTCCTCTTCTTTCTCTTCTATGAGTGGTTCCGGAGCGTCGGGCTCGCCGCCGGTGGCCGTGGGCGGAGGAGGAGAGGGGATAGGTCGGTGTCGGGGCTGGGGCTGGGCGTCCTTGAGGAATTGGCTATTGGTGTGGCGGCTGGTGCCTGCTCGAGACTCTTCACGACTCCGATCGCCAATGTGGTCACCCGCAAGCAGACGGCCTCGCTTGTCGACGGCGAGGGGAGGGATGCGGATGCCAGCGTCCGGGAGATCATCGAAGCTATTCGGAAGGAGCAGGGTCTCGCGGGGTTCTGGTCCGGATACTCGGCTAGTCTGGTGCTCACTCTAAACCCGAGTATCACCTTTTTCCTTCAGGAGTTCCTCAAGAAAAAGACCGTCTCAGCCGATAAATGGGATAACCCCGGCGCACACATGACGTTCCTCCTCGCGGCTATCAGCAAGACCATCGCCAGCACCATCACATACCCGTTCCAAACCGCCAAGACCCGACTGCAAAACGGCGTCCCGGCCGCGCCCAAGAGCCCGAACGGGGATGCAGCACAAGCCCCCGAGGGAGCAGTCGAGGCCCCCACGCAGGAGACGCAGACACACCACGTCACCTTCGACGAGCCAATATCTCCCAAGACAGAAGTCCCCCGCAAAGTCTCCTTCAAAGAGAACGTCGCACCGCCGGAGCGGCTCCCCAGAGGCGAGAGAGACTACAAATCGGACGCGCTACGGGCGGTCCAGGACTTCGGTAAGAGCAGCGTCTTCGGCACCGCCGTGCAGATCGCGCGCGCCGAGGGCGTCGGGGCCCTGTACGACGGCATCTTCGGGGAGCTGGTTAAGGGCTTTCTGGGCCACGGGACCACGATGTTGGCTAAGGATGTCGTGCATAAGCTGCTTTTTAAGCTGTACTTTGTCGTCGCGGGCGTCTTGGCTGAGATCCGGGCGCGCAGGGCTAGGGCTAGGGCTGGAGCTGGAGCTGGAGTTCGGGGTAGGACTGAGGCTAGAGCTGTTGTTAGGCCGGTGACTAGGACCGAAACTCGGACTGAGACCGTGGTTGAGACTGTGGTTAGGAGCGCGCCGGAAGCTAGGATGGAAGCTGGGCCGGAGCCTAGGGCTATAATTGAGGCCCCGATGGCCCCGATTAAGGCCCGGTCTAGCACTCCACCACCTCCGGTACGAATGTCCTCGCCTCCGCCATCGCCGCCGTCCTCATTACTAGAATCACCACCACCATCACCACCAGCGTCTCTACCCGAAGCGCCAACACCACCCCCTCTCGAATTCGAATCCGAATCCGAATCCGAACCCCCCATCCCCTTCGCCCTCCCCCCTCCTCCTCCACCACGCCTACCCTCCCCCCCACCACAGCGCTCCTCCCCCTCTCCCCTCCGTCTAGCATCTCTACCGCCTCGCCGCCCCCCAACCCCTCCGCCCTCAGAGCCGCAGCACCAGCTCCACTCGCTCCGGTACCGATACGAGCGACTCCCGTCTCCCCCGCCGACGCCGTATCCCGCGGCGGGCTACGGCTATCGCTGGAGTAGTAGTCCGCGGAATCATAGCGGGGGACGGTCGTTTCTGGCTGAGGACGGGGATGTGGATGTGGATGTAGAGGATGGTGGGGGGAGCGTGGTGGCGAATATGATTGATAGGACGCAGAGGGGGGTTAAGTATTATTGATGAGATGAGGATGATGATGATGATGATGATGATGATGAGGGTTAATATTGGGGTGGGGTGGGGTGGGGTGGGTGTTGGGGGAAAAAAGGGGGGGGTCTGTAAGAATGGGCTGTACGAGGTTTGTTGGACAAGTGTCTGTTCTGTCCACCATGCGTACATCGATCTATCTTCCTCTTTCCGTTCTTTTTCTTTTCTTTTGTCCGAGGGGGAAAAGTCTATTCTGCTGCTTCACGAATAGGCTAAGACTGTCATTCATCTCTTTCCTTTCCTTTCCTTTCCTTTCCTGTTCAATCTCCTTGCTGTACTCGGACACCGGAGGGGATTCCAAAAGACGGGTTTGTTTGTTTTGGGCATTCGGGGCCCTGGAGTTGGGGAATTGTAAATCTACCTAGGTACATGTTTGCAAAAGGTCGGGAGGTGGCGCCGGTCGAAAAGAGTGTATGACAGGCGGCATCATGTACGAGGTTTACGATGATTCAACTTTGGGCTGGGCTTCGGAATGGGAATGGGAATGGGCTATGGGGAAACAGGATATGGTATTAAGCATAGCGTACGGCAAGATGGGTCGGATATACATAATGTGTTTTCCGGTATTGGTAGCGGGTGTCAGCTCGTTGCTATACTCGAATTAATTTTAATATCATAGTTATAATCGAGTTCCATGTTCTTTCTACATATGATATCGCAGTCAAGTCTAACACTGAAATGCCACACCAGACTTCTGCACCTGGTTTACGCCTCCGGCCGAAAAGCCCGTGCCCTCGCTCCTTAGCTCGACTAACCCCGGCCGTATCCTCTCCTTATCCTTCTTCTTGCTCTTTTCACTACCCCCATCATTACTGCCCTTCTGATCTGTAAGGTCTGCCTCGCAGACATAGCACCGTAAGCTCCCAGCATCGCCTGCTGCTGCGTGTGGATCGTGATGGTGCCGCGAGGGTCGCATAAACTTATCGACGCAGTTACGGCACAAGACATGGCCGCAGGGCTTCGCGAGCAGTGCTTTCGAAGCATTGTTTAGTCCCCTCTTGCACGATGGACATATACGTATGCGCTTCTTCCTGTTACTTGGACCGCTGCCGCTCTCGCCGCCTCCATCTTCCTCTTCGGTGAAGTTCACTGTCACAAGTGTGTGTAGTGAGTACGTATGTGGACTGTCGTCTTTTGACGCCGGGCATATGGGCGTGCTCTTCGTCTTCTTGGCTACCTCGTGAAGCGCATCTTTCGTGTTGGAAGATGGTGTTATCGAAGGCGTCCAAAACGACGGCAACACAGGTTTCGTTGCCTTCTCTTCGTCGATTGCTTTCCGTGCTTTTGCCCTGTCTTCTTGCGCTATCCGCACTAATTCCTCCGCGTCTATTTCGAACTTGCGCTTCTTCCCACTACCATTAGGTAGCTCTACTGCCGCCGGTGTGCTGCTCTGATTGCGACTATCGATTGATCCTTTCCGAGTAGTATTATCGTCTTTATTAGTGCTATTACTCCTCGCCTTTGCATCCAGACCAATCTGTGTCATCTCAAATTCGCGAACAGCGCGCTCGCGGGCTTCTTCCTCCTGGCGCGCCCTTTCTTCCAAGGCTTCACGCTCCCCCTGCTCGCGAACTTTCTCGAGGCGCTTTATCTCCTTCTTCTGGGCCAGGATGTTACTCAGGGCGCACTCGCGGCAGAAGATATCACCGTGCACACATGACACAGGGTCTTGGGCTATCTCAAGGCACAGCCCACAGGACGAGAAGGGGAGGAAGCTTTCGCGTGACAGTCGTGCCGTCGTCGAGCTCCATGCTCGTTTGGCGAGGTCCCGCTCGTGGGAGGTGAAGACGGCGCGCGACGTGTTCCGCTTACCTAGAGCGAAATGTGTTAGTGATATCGTCTATCTCCTTAGGATCCGTCAATGCAACTTTTAGAAAATGGAGGTCTTACTGTGGGACATCTTGAAGATGGTACTTGAAATAATTATAACAGATACTTTATTATTTATCTAGTTAGTAGAGTTCATGTTTGATGTCGCGAACATTAAATAAAGTGCAGGTGGATAGGTCTACTTGTATCTGCAAGGCTCGAGGCGTAACGTAATGGAAGTACCTAACCTAGGGATTCAGGTACTTGTCCAGGTATTGATGTACTGTAACTACAGGGGTCTATCAACGTATCGTTATCTCCCTGCAGATGTAGCAAGAAGCCGTCATCGAATTCCGCGTTAGTTACGGAGCGGTACCTTCTCAAGTACATATAACTACCTAATTACCTGGTACCTGCTAAATACTTCGTACATATACCGTAGCGGCAGTGTATGGGTTCTAGGAATCATATTTCTCATTCTAACCTTTGTTATGGCTAATACGATAGTTTACGAAATAATCATTTTTTTAAAAATAATCATTCCTTGTAAAAAAATGATTCCTTAGAATCTAAAGCTTTGATTGGCTAGAATAAGTGGACCTTAAGTCACATGACCTCAAAAAAGCTTAAAAATCAAAAAAGCTAAGAGGCCTGGGACTCGAACCCCAGGCTCCTAGCCCCACCACAACATCCCCGCTAATGCAATGCGGAAGTGTTTTAATTGAGCTAGCTCTAATGGGTGGCCAGTCCACTAATGCTGAAAGTTTAGTCGTTTTTGAACCTTATTACCCACACTTTCATTTTTTTAATATTACAATAATATATTGGGCCAATCAGAGAAACTATTCCTATATAAGCAATAATATCCTATACAAGAATCATTCCACCCCCAAAATATGATATCTCAAAACCACACTTTGCCGGTATGGTACATAGTAGTGCTTTTTTGCGCTCGCGCTGTTACACCTGATTTTTCTTTTGGCGTCCCCATCGTGCGAACCCGCCTACGGAAACTTCAAAACATCATGTAGTCTCTCCTTAAGTAGAAGTCATTATTTGCTATGCCGTCGAGTTCCAACTGCAAAAGTCAATGGCATCTCACGAAGTCGACATGTCCAATTCCAACCCCAACAAGCTGCCTCTTCAGCAGCCAAGTCTGCCCTGGCGCATGACTTCTTCCGTTATTATGGGCCTAACTGCGGCCCTCTCTAGGGGTTTCTTATATGGTTTGAATTCGGTCGAGGTAACCGGTTTAGAGCGATTCTTGGAAGTCTTGGACAAGAGGAAAGATGTCGAAAAGAGGCAGAGAGGTCTCATTACTGGTGGGTGATGACGGGCCTCGTGATAGTATGAGAAACTAATTTTACATCAGTTTCAAATCATGTCAGTGTGTAAGTAGCATATACCTCAATATTCATAATTCTATCTTATAAATTAATCCATCGCCTAGACTTGATGATCCTCTCATATGGGGGGTTTTACCGTTTAGTTATGCCTTCAATCCGTCTAATCATAGATGGGGTATGGGAGCCCATGATATATGCTATAAGAATAAGTGAGCGCGCATCTCTTCACTCATATATATCCTCTCCTCCCGCTAACATATATAGCTAGGCTACTTGGATCTTTTTTCTATGCTGGTCAAGTATTACCGACTCATAGGTCAAAACACTCACCTCATGGGGGACTCTTCCAGCCTACAGTTCCCCAGGCGATTCGACTTCTGTCTTCATCGCCGTTCACTACTCCGACACCAGCTCCCTTAGAAGAGTCTCATGACATATTAGATCCGTTTACTTCGGGGGGTATGACATTCACTACTACTGGCACAGACCAATATGTCGCGCCGTCTATATACTCCCAAAACCGGCATAGTTGGGTCCATGTCTTCCCCGAGGCATGCGTACATCAGCACCCGAAGATGTTCTTGCGTTATTTCAAATGGGGCATTTCACGCATGATTCTTGAGAGCGAGCCCATGCCCGACGTGCTACCCATGTTCATCGACGGCCCCCAGCGCGTCATGCCCGAAGACAGGGGATGGCCACGATTCCTTCCCCGTTTCCCCGTCAAGTTCCGGGTAGCCTTTGGCGAACTCCTAGACACCGAGAAGAAATTCGGGGACCTTCGCGCGCGGTGGCAGGAGCTCGTCCGCAAGGAGAAAAGGGGCCTAGCAATGGGCGAACTAACTGACGAACTTAAATACGGCAAGGAAGCCGTGAATCTAAGAATCGAGGTCGCGAGGAGGGTTCGCGAAGAAGTAGCAAAGGTTCGCAGGAACATGGGATATCCAGAAGAAGAGCCACGTTTCGAGTTAGCAGAGACATGGGCCCAGGAGCCGACTGAGGATCGCTTCAAGAGTAATGTTGATGACAGTTTAATCAACAAGAGGAAATAAATCATCTTGATTTGGCTATTATTATAGATTTCAAAGCTGAGCGTATCGTAGAGCAGTAGGTTTTAGAATAAATTTAATGACCGAATAGATATAGGGGCACATAACAAACATTTGCTACGGTTACTAATAAATCTTGATAGGAAGGGATTCATGGGATAGGTACCGGTGTTAGGGTGACTTATAGCAGGTCCCCAACCAAGAAAATTGATCAATTACTATAGAGATTGCTTGATCCCTATTTATATATATTCATCGTATTCTCTTAAGAATAAGTAGGCCAAAAGTAAGTTAGGGTTAACCAAGTAACTTCTATTATTACCTTCAAACCCCCTATTGTTGCACAATATAGTTAGCACCACCTTCTCACTCTCTAGAATCCAATTAGGTATCCTATAAACGTGACTCGTAAGTCCCATGTCCATAATTCACATACATACAGGATTAGTTTCAAGTGTACAACAGTAGATGGAAGACTCGAATCATCGGGTATATCCCTTTCGGTGCCTATTAATAGTAATGGATCTTTCTCCCAATCCCTATAAATGCAGTCGTTATCTATGAGCGTTATGACCGTCAGTGCCCAAACGCCTGCCTACCCGTAACCCTTCCGTGCTGCATCAGGACATCAAGTTCGCTACCTGCTAATCCGGCTACCAACCGCTCCTCACCTTCGTCATGGCTATTCTATAACCGCAAGACGATGAAGCATAAACCCAACTCGCTATTTGATAACCCATATCCGTGCTAAGCGTATCTCAGACTTCTAGACACAAATCGCTGGCCCAACCTGCAACCTAATGTCAACCATAATACTAATATCCCTGATCATAAACGCCTTGCGAGGGCACGGCTGGAGCCGCAAAGCCTCTGGCTTGGGCTTGGGCTTGGGCTTGGGCTTGCATTGCCTGCTGTTGCTGCATTTGGTGTTGCATGGCCAAGTCGGAAAACCAAGGGTGCTGTAATGCGTCGTGTGCGCTAATGCGGTGCTCCGGGCGCAGAACTAGCATCCGTTGCAGGAGATCGATTCCGAGCTGGTCAATCTGAGGCAATATAGCTCTAAGATCCTGCGTGGCATACATTTGAATGTTCGGCTTGTACTCGGGGAACTGTGTGATGCCGGGCCAAGTCCTTTCTGTAGGCGTGCCCATTATGCGGAAGATACGTATGATTTGGTCCTCATTTGTTGTACCAGGGAATAGTGGCCGACCGGTGTACATTTCGGCCATAATACAACCTGCCGACCATATATCGATACTGGTGTTGTAGGTTCGACTACCTAGTAAGACGTCCGGAGCTCGGTACCATAGTGTGACGACTTCGTTTGAGAAGGTATTGACAGGAATACCAAATGCTCGCGCTAATCCAAAATCCCCAAGCTTGAGCTGGCCCTTCTTGTTGATAAGCAAGTTTTGCGGCTTCAGATCTCGGTGGAGAACTCTGTTCTTGTGGCAAAAGTCAATGCCCTTCAATAACTGAAACATGAAGGATTTAATAGTCATAGGCTTCAAGGCGCCCCTATCGCCGTGAGTATCCATGTACTTCTTAAGGTCTCCGTCCAGGTATTCGAATACAAGCATAAGCTTATTCTCGGTATGAATTACGTCGTAGAGCGCTACAATATTCTCGTGTTTTAGCTCTTTCATGAGCGAAATCTCTCGGATCGCAGTTGACGGAGTGCCTTCTTCAGAGTCAAGGTGAATCTCCTTGAGGGCGACAAGTTCGCCCGTCTGGCGGTTCCGTCCCTTGAAGACCTATTACGCCCATATAAGTTAACAAAGGATATCCTGTCACGATTTCGAATGCATTAGGAGAACGTACCGTAGCATAGGTACCCTCTCCCAACTTCTCGAGCTGCTGGAAAGAGCTCGGATGCCTCTTTGCGTCCATCTTGGTATGAGTCGGACGAGGTCGAGAGGTATAAGTAGGGTCAAACAATATACCCCCAGCAGTACAAGTCTTGCTTAAAAGGTCCAAAGTCGTTGGTTGTTTGCGAGGGTTGTCTATGGGGGGAGTGGCGTTGGAAGTCGTGGTGAAGGTAGGGGGAGAGGAGAGTTAAATAGCCTTGTCGTAATACAAGGCGCGGGTTCTAGGCTTCGATGACGAGAGACGAGAGACGAAGAGGCGCCCGAGAAATTTTATTAAGCGACAGTAAATGTAATCTTGGCAAGACTCTAGGGTGAATACGGCTGAGCTAGGGCGCTTAATCTTCAGTAAATCATCCGTTACGTATCCCTCAGGATTTAAAGGGTGGATTAAAATGGTAGGTCGGCAGGTCGGTAAGGTCGGTAAGGTCGTTAAGGTAGGTCAGGTATATTCTCGGATTTCCGTTTAGCGGTTGAAGTTGAGGGGCAAATGGACAAGAATGGACGACATGAGCAGGGGGGGGAGATGGATTATGGCGTACATACATAAAATTGAATGTACATACTTTATGTATATACTTATGTACATATGTAAGTAATGCAGAGAGGTACGAAGTACGAATATACATGTACGTATGTACCTAACAACATTGAAACCTAATAAACGTAATCCGTACATACACAGGCCACTGACCATCCCTGCACACCACACTATCCAATGTCGAGTTTCACAAACACCCAAGTGATCGCACCATCCGCAACTCAACAAGCCAAAAGTGGAGGTGTACAAGTAGGTACGTCATTCCCACTCTGGTGAATATAATAGAAACTAAGTTATACTCTGTATTGGCTTGTACTTGTATTGTACCTGCACTATTTCTCCAAGCTGGCTCAAGCAACCTCCTGAGCTTATCTGATGCGGGGTGTCCTTTATTCAACCATTTATGGAGCGGCTCCAACCTCCATACAGCCAAAAGGAGAAGACCCCAACTTAAGATCAACCTATACATACATACCGACTCATGTCATCATCCACCACCGCCTGTGATTCCCCTTAACAAACCCTATTGATCCTTCTCCAACCTCTTTGACCGATACATATTAGGTATTTATATATATATATATATATATATAATACCTTTGTAGTCACCTAAACTGCAAACGCGTTCCCATAACTTCTGCTTCTAACTATCTAGATGTAAACCTCAATCATGCGACCCTCCCCCGGCGACCACGCTTGGCATGGGCGTCAGCGTCCTGCCGACCATGATCCAGCTCCCCTTATGGCTTCTAGTTGTAGTAGCCAGATGTCTTTTTTCCTTGCCGACGAGTCGTCCATTGATTCTTACCTCGAGCATTCTAACCCGCACGGTCGTTTTCTAGACGCGCGGAAGGCTGCTACCTCTACAAGTGTGCCACCTCCCCGCGGTAATGATAAGGACAGCGAACCTTCAAGGCAGGCTACGATGCAACGGGAAAGAGATTATATACCAGCATACTCCCAATCATCCAGGGCTTCTGTCTTCACACACAGTCCAGCATCGATGAGGTCCCAGAACTATTCGTCACCTTCGCGGCCGATAACACCCATCATGCTAGGTACATCCTGCACGGGTTCCGTAATCAGCACCCCATCCTCCAGGAGAAATTCATTTGCTGGGTCGCTCTCAGACCACGGAGTTAGTTCCGATGAGGAATTTTTCGAACAAAGGTCTTCGAACACAATAGATAGCGGAAGTGCTCCTCAATTAGTAATGCCCAGCATCAAGATGCCAAGTCGGCGTCCATTCACCGAGATAGGCAAGAATCTGGGCCGGTTAAAGGTGTTGTTTGCCGGTGACTCTGGTATTATTCCTAACAAGACCGTCCCTTAGCTCTAGCTAATGGACCTCGTCTTAGGTATCGGTAAGACCTCCATGGTCAAAGCAATCGTCCAAACCTGCGAGCATATCGTCCATGTTGATCCTATTCCATCTCAAACCGAGTCGAACACCCACATGAAGCAGGTCAGCCTACCTAGAAATGCATCAAACTCGACATCTAGCATATTGGAGATATATGCCAGCACCAAGCCTTATCCAGAATGGTGGTCGATGTTGGACGAGCCTCATCTCTCTCAAAGGCGTAAAAGTCTAGGCGACAGCGTTCTAGAGCGCAATGTGTGTTTTGTAGATACACCTGGATATCAGAATGGTTCATCCGTAGGTTGCGCTAATTATGTTGTTAACTATTTGAAATACTAACACCTTCTAGGCTATGGAGACTATCATGTCTTCCGTTGAATATATTGAATCTCACTTAGACAAAATATCATCGGACTCTCTAAGCGATTCGGATATGTTAAACATGTTAGGAGGTAGCGGAGGTTTTCAAGTTGACGTGGTCTTCTATTTTATTTCACAAAGTAAGCAAGCGTCCAATCCGAGGAGATGCCAGGACTAACCAACCTTAAAAGAAATGAGACCCATCGATATAGAATATATCCGCCGGCTAACACCACTGACAAATGTTATTCCCCTTCTAGCCCAGGCCGACTCATTGTCGCTAGATCAGCTTGCTATATGTAAAGAGCAACTTATCGGCCAGCTTCAAGAGGCGGGACTTCAAACATTTAGCTTCGCGTTAACAACTAGCGATAGATCTGCAACGGCTATACCCAGTATTCCTTATGCTGTATCTAGTGCAACAGGTTCGGACGACGATATAATGGATGCGAGCCTTCTCATGAGCGCCGACTATGTTCAACCTCTGATGACGTCGGAACTAAAATATCTTGTAGAGAACGTTTTTAGTCCAAGCGGAATATCCTGGTTGCGGCATGCTGCAGCAAAGAAGTATCTGGGATGGAGAAATACCACACCATCGCGCCCTCGTCATTTATACAGGCCGTTGAGTCTCCCTGGTCCAACGTCATCTTTTCTTCCGAGCCGATCGTCAGAAAATCCGACTAGTCCACGTGCCTCCTTAGCACTCGCCCGTCTTAATGACCGGCAACTGGCCCATAATCCGCCCCAAATGCATATGGCGGACTGGGCAGCCGATCTTCAGCGTAGTCTGGCCAGTGAGCGAGCCCAGTATGAATCACTTGCTCGAGGGGAACGTGCTATTTGGCTTACAGAGAGATTAAACGAATGTGTGCAAGATGGCACACTTGTAGCCCTGAATAAGCCCCAAGGTACAAGCTCAGTAGGGGTAAGAAGACCATCCAAACGTAGGCCTTCGACAACGACGGTACCGCACCAAGATCCGCTAGGATTGCTTCAAGTGGCAGCAGACTTGAAAGCGAAAGGATGGGTTGCTTTAGAGGTTATAGGTAGCCTCGGTGTCATTGGAGGATTAGCATTTTGGATGTCAAGGCAGCATTGGCACATGGATCCCCTCGAACTCGCTCTTGCGGATGAGTGGGTAAGGCGTTGGGGCGTGGACATTTAATATACCTGTATTTGTACAATTTGTACAAGATAGTTTGGGATGGTCACTCTACTCACAACATAGTATTGGCCTTACCGAATAAACCCAGCTTTAATCCGAGTAGAGAGTTGCAGATTGAATTTTGAGCTTTTGCGTAGATTGGATGATTGTGTAGAACCGGTGATGATGCCTATACCCAAGATGATAGAATAGAAATAATATAGCTCCTTGTTTTTAAAAGGATCTTTTTAAGTCTTCTATTATTATACTTTGCTAAGAATAAAGGCGGTTTTATTTTATTTCGTGTGCTAAATTTGACTTGATATTACCTAAGGTAGGTACCTTTAGGTACATGCTTCCAATTCGGTTCTTACATGTACGTCGTAAGAACGATTCTTTGATAAGCGCGCGGTATGTATCGATAAATGATAAACAGTCGCAGATCAGTTCCCGAGGAAAGTACAAGGCACCTAGGTACTACCTACGTACCTACGTACATGTAAAGGTACCTAAGGTTTTGTATTTTCTTTTGTCTCCATTTCCTTGCCATCATTCATTCCAACAAACATCATTTCTTCTCACGCGTATCTCATAAACTTTAGTACTCGTACTTTTTCTTTTCTTACACTTATTCGCGCGAGTCCCTGCCCGTTCCTGAAGCCCAGTCGCCTTGAGGCATTTGCCTGGGCTTATAAGTAACGAATAACCCGAATTCACCGACGATACCCAAAAGGCAATGTGATTGTTTCTCGAAGCGACTTTCGATGCTGTTTGTCACAGACGAGACCAAGTCAGATCCTTTGAACTTCCTGCCTGCGCGCAGCATTATTCTACCTTCTTTTAATTATTTAGTTCATTCTAGATCCGGATAATTTCCTTTCCTGACATTTTCTTAAGCATCAACCTTCGATATCTTCTAAACAAGACACAATGGCGAATTCTGAACAGACCTGGGGCATCACCCCTCCGATTTCAGTTGCCCTTCCTACCCCGGCCGAGACACAGTCTACACATCTTCTCTTAGAAGAACTGCGACGACAAAATACCTTTGAATCCGCAGCCGAAACCAAGAAGAGGTAAGCCGGGTAGCTAGCTCGTGGTGAAACTTGTCTATCAATCGCAACTAACAAATCCATTCTACCAGAGAGAAGGTCCTTGTCGACCTTCAGCGTATCGCCGACGAGTTTGTGAGACGAGTAGCAAGGGAGAAGGAACCGCAAAATGAAGTTCTCATCCGCGATGCTCGCGGCGAGGTCTTCACATACGGAAGTTTCTGTCTAGGCGTCTACGGTCCCGGCTCTGATATTGATACCCTCGTCACTGCTCCCCGATACGTCACTCGTGATGATTATTTCAAATACTTCCCTTCTTTACTACAAGAGATGGCCCCCGAGGGTGCAGTGACGGATCTCACTGCTGTAGAAGATGCATTTGTACCTATCATCAAGTTCGAATATTGGGGAATCAGTATTGATCTAATCTTCTCAAGAATAGCCACGTTGAAGCAGTTCCCACCACATGGTCAACTCAATCTGAATAACAATGAATACCTACGTGGCTTAGATGATCGTGAGCTCCGCTCCCTCAACGGAACCAGAGTCACGAGAGAGATTTTGAACCTGGTCCCGGAGCAGAGCACCTTTCGCCTTGCCCTTCGAGCCATCAAGTTATGGGCAACACGCCGCGCTATCTACGCCAACATTATCGGGTTTCCCGGTGGAGTAGTATGGGCTATGATGGTGGCACGGGTTTGCCAACTCTATCCGAAGGCAGCGAGCGCTACCATTGTTTCCAAATTCTTTCAAATCATGAAAGTCTGGCAGTGGCCTATACCTGTACAGCTGAAGCACATGGATGATGGTCCGCTCAATGTCCGTGTCTGGAATCCCAAGGTCGGTATTCACTCACATCAGCAAATTAGAAATTTCACTTGGTTAACTGGTCGCAGATATACAAGAGTGACAGCTATCACCTGATGCCTGTGATCACTCCTGCTTATCCTCAGATGTGTGCAACCTTCAACATCACACATTCTACCATGGCCATCATACAGCGCGAGCTGGAACGCGGCGCTGATCTCACCGATAAGATAAGAGCCGGAAAGCTCGCGTGGAAGGATCTCTTTGTAAAGCACACGTTCTTCACTGCGGACCACAAGTATTACTTGGCCGTCATTGCGACTAGTACTACCAAGGAGGCGCACAAGATATGGTCTGGGTTCGTAGAGTCGAAAGTCCGTGTTTTAGTGGGTGATCTGGAACGACATGCTTCGGTTGCGATTGCGCGCCCATTCAACAAAGGATACGAAAGGGTGCACAAGGTCAAGAACGACCAGGAAACTGAAGAGGTTCGAAATGGAAACCTGACTTACATTGTCCAAGATGACGATAGTGAAGATGACACGAAGGTGAAGAACGAAAATGGCGTTGAAGTCAAAACTGAGGACAAGACAGAACAGAATCCCGCGATCAAAGTTGAGAATGGCGAATCGATGAGCTTTGATATCAAGTCCGACCCTGAGGACCAGAAAATTAGTATGGAGAGCATCCCCAATGCAGTCCCCCGCGAAGCGAAGATATACACCACGACGCACTACGTAGGTCTCGAGCTTGCTGAAGGTGAGTGCCCCTCTACTTCATCCTGTTTTTGTATGCATATTCTATGTGGCCTTTCGAGCCAGCGAACTCTCCGCTGTGATTCCTAACCTAAGCTTGATGACATGTTAGGCGCAAAATCATTGGATCTGTCTTTCCAAGTCAACACATTTAAGGATCTGTGCAGTCAATGGGAGAAGTACGAGCCAAGCTTGAACTACCTCAGTATCCAGCACGTAAAGAAGTGAGTGCACTACTAAACCGGTTTATTGCAATTATTGACCTAAAAATTCCAGTACAAATCTTCCCGACGACGTTTTCGAGCCCGGAGAAGTCAAACCAGCGCGTCCCCGCCCTGTTAAAAAGATAGTTGCAAACGGCGATGCCACAGTCGGCCAAAAGAAGCGCAACGCCTCGTCCGAAGTATGTAGAGATACATGGTAGATGGCCAATATCGTGACCACCGCCAAGATATCCAAGGAGGTCCTTATACCCTTATGGAGCTCACTAACACGCACTTTAGGGGAACCCGCCACCTGCGAAACGACCACAGCCTGCCTTGCAGACTCCAGCCGCTGCTGTGGGCTGAGTATTAGCCAATTATCCGTATCACACTTCTCCGACAGCACCGGACTATACCTTTACCATGCTCATTCCGAATCTCCTAAGGTGCCGACTGATCTGCTGCAGTTGTCACTAACTTGTATTTGATACTAACATAATAGTGCCCGAAGATGGTCACTTTGCAACATTGTGTGAGTCCGGTTGCCACAATACGAATATCAGCCTCTTTGCCATAGGCGAACCAGCCAAACAGTAACAGGGGCCACAGAATACTAATGCCCGCGGAAGACAAATCAGTAGCCGCGACCTTGCTTCGCGAGGGGTGCTACAACGCTCATTTTCCTTATTTTCTTTCTACGACGAGTGTGCAAACTATACGAACCATAGTGGTTGGAGAAATCGGCAACGAAGCTTTCTAGGCTTGGTGTGGGGGGGAAATATTAATACGGCTCGTCCCGTTTTCACCATGATATCCCCCGTTTAATTACGTCCCTTGGCTTTATCTAGGAAGAGAAAGCTGAATTCGCATAACACTGATCTGACATAGGGCATCGAGTCGGAAGGAGATAAGACTTTGGCCTACAGTGTATCTAGAGGCGTTTGCAGATAAATAAAACTTGGTTAGGGGGCACAAGTGCCTCGAAGCAATCATATTAACCACCCAATTATACCATCCCATTGTAGTACTATAACTACGTGACAACCAAATCTAAGCTGTATAACTTGATTATATAAAGTTAACAATCAAGGTATGTGAGAGCCGGGCGGCTATGTGCCCATTATTATCTCACTATGAGATGTAATTTAGTAGTTATAAGGAGTAAAGCGGGAACGTTGGTGCCTTAATATGTACCTAGTAATTGTCTTACCCATTTGGAGGCCATACTAAGTACCTATATTATGTTAACAAGCAAGGGATTGTGAACAAGAAGCATAATGGAAGTTTTATCATCTACTATACCTACAGCAAGATCCCAAGTCTTTGAATATAAAGACCACATCACTCCCTCCATATGTTTCGGGCAATATATGATAGGTGTTTAAGTTGGCAACTTAACTGTCTAACCTAGGTAGTCACTATGGGATAAGCTTTGTATGTATCATATTATTTATGTATAGGTACCTGTCTGTTCATACAATCTACAGTCACACAAAGCTAGATCATTGGGAAAGATAAACTGTTGCAAAATTCTCTTTATTGGATAGCCAAGCTTGAGCTATAGACCAGGCAATGCCAATGCGCGTCCGTCCTTTGTAACCTACGTATCTCCTACCGTACCTATGTACAGAGTATGCCGACAGTCCCCTATCTCCCCTGGTGTCGTGGCAGTGGTACCAGTTGACTTCTCACATTGAAACCTCCCTCTCTCCCCTCCCTAGACATGGATAGGCAAACACCTATCGAATCGTATCGTTGAAAAAGAATTTCCATCCCGAAAACACCTTGACTTGTCCGTAACGCCTTGCCGGCCATTAATGATGAATTTTTTTTCTACTCGTTGCCGCCCTCTAGAAAACATGATACGTCGAAGTTAAACGCCGTCTTCACTCGTAACTCTTTGCTTGCTTGTTCGCGTGTCTATGTACCGGGAATCGATTAATGATTGCGTGAAAAAAAGGCAATTTTGATATGGTTTAGGAGTCGAAGGACAGGGAGATATTGACATCAGCCCCGGCTCTTCCTTTGGCCCTTGCGGCCCTTTGTCTTTGGCTGCGGGGGAGGCTCGCTGTGGAGGTGTCCGAACTCCTCAATGGCAACATTGTTGGTCCAGTTGAGGCAACGGAATTGCGTAGGCTCGGGACTAGCCTGAGTCTTTCGAGTTGTCATCCGTTTAGGCTCCTCCTTCTTCCCATTCTCTTTTACCGTCTCCTTGGTCTCCTTGGTCTCCTTGGTCTCCTCTTCGTCTTCTTGGCAGAGATACTGGGCTCGGCTCTTCATATGCGTTACAATCTTCTCCTTATAGGCCAAGATCTCCTTTCGCAATTTGGACTCGTTGAAACCTCGAGGATCAAGCCAGTTCAGAAGTGAGTCGACCTCGCTAGGTTCTGAGTAATAGCCCCATTGGTAAGCGTTGAAGACGCTGGTACGACCTTCTTCCATCTTTTTCCTCTGTGGAACCGTCATCTTAAACTTCGCCTTGTACTCTTCCTGGTG